GAACTATTTCTGGTATTGCATATATTTAGGATGAACGATTTATGCAGTCTTTGAAATAAAGCAAAAATTAATATAAATAAGGGTTAATATAATGCTCGATTTTAAGCGTGAGTTAAGAAAAATAACTATATTTTTTAATGTCATTGAATTTACCGTTAGCTTCTTGCGTTTATAGAAAATTGAAAAAGCTTGCGGTTTCGGAAATATAAGGCGTCAAGAATTCAAATTATACAAATTTCAAGAGGCGATAACTTGAGAGGGGGCGGAGATGGAAAAAAATTTTCTTCTAACGAAATAAACTATTTGTTAATGTCTAACAGCTTCTAGAGGGGGGGAGATAAGTAAAAATTTTGTTCTACGGAAATAAGTTTCTGGTAAAGATCTATGTACATATCAAATTTCAGCTTTTTATCTTCAAGGGTGTAGAAGTTTTGTAAACAGACACACTGACGAACGGACGGAGTGGAACTAATAAGCACTTTTTTTTTTAAATTTTTTGGAAAATTGCTAAAAAATTCTCAGCATTATAAGAATGTATAAAAAAAAAGTATAGAGTAAAAATTATATTGAAAACTTTGTAATACACTTATAATAGAATAAGATAATAATTAATAGATGAAGACTATGTATAAAGACAAAATCTTAATACATATTAAAATATTATGCTAGTAGTTGAATTAATGAAAAGATGAGAAGAAATATAAGAAATAAATATTTGATAAAGTTTATAGTATATTTATTCAATGGAAATTCAAGGTAAAATTTATTTAAGCTCAAATTGTTTTCATAATGTAAACTGAAGTATAATTTAACATTGAATAATTACAGTATATTAAATTCATATTTAGAAAGGTCTAAATAAATAAATATGCTAATATAAAATGTGATGCGATATTATCTAACTTATGTTCAACAATTTGTAATTATTAACTAATAATACGAGTTTGTGACGGGGCGCAAACTGAACATATAACATGAAGACATATTTGAGCTATAAAAAGGATCGCTTCAGAGGGAGCGTATTGAGCATTTTAATAAATTGCGCACTACAATCATGGTCTATAATGTCACGATCCATACTTTCCTGATATTGCCTTATAAAACTTAAATTTGTCTTATCATCTGATTGGAATCAAACGATAGGTAAGGTGAGAATTTTCAAATTCCTTAAAAAATGTTTATTGATTATTAGATAATTTGACTTAATTATTTGAATGTCTAGTATAGATAATTTAAGGCAGGTGACAGAGAAGTAATAATACAACCTTTGTATACAACTATTGCAATCAACACAACTTCCGTCCTGCTTATACACATATAAATTTCAAAGTGGTCATAAATCTTACACTTTTTTAAAAATTTTACACTTCTATTATTTCTAATATTTTTTCATGTTCAAATTTTATAAAAATTTAAATTTTCTCTAAATCTAAATTTAGTGAATTATCGGTTCCAATTTCATTCGTTTATTTTTTATTGATAGAAATTTCTGAATGACTTATCAATTTAAATAACTTGATTAGCATTTACAATATTTTTTTCAACATTAATAATTAAATAACTCAACTATAATAATTATATAAATATATAGATGAAAATTATATTTTCTATAAATTATAAATTACATATATGAATGATGTTTAAAAATTTTTACACCGTTCAATTCATTCCTCACCAATTTTACAATTCATTAGCTTCTTTCGATCGTATAATCATCAATTAATCGAATATTTCAACAAATTATTTTACTTGTCAATTTACATTTCATTCTCGTATTAAAATAATTGATTTCACAAAATATATTTTTATAAAAAAAAAACCAAATCACTTATTCACAATAAATTAGTTGTAAAGCTTTTTAAAGGATTTTCAAAGGATAAAATTGTAAAAAACAAGCCTGTATATAATATAAACTTTCATGTATACATACTTGATGTATATATATATATATATATATATATATATATATATATATATGTTTATATAGATGTGGATATAACAAATGAAACGTCACGATTTATAATTGGCTTTCGTTACGAATAAAAGGGAAATAGTAATTTGAACAAAGAACCAAAACCCCCTAGAAATATCCAAAAAAAAAATTTTTTTTAATGAACAGATTGCGATACGAAAGATGATGAAAAATGAATCAAAAGAATTTTATTCATATATACATATATTATTGGTAAATTTAATTTATTTTGTTCAAGGATTTATATAAAAGGATTTTTAATAAGTACTCAAAATCACAATCGCAAAAACAATGAAAATTATTAAATTTTTTGTTTATGTACTTGTACTCGTATATACGACATTCTCGTATGTGAAAACCGAATTAGAAAAAAAAAATCGAATTCTAACTAAAAAATTTAGGTTTTGACTTAAACTTCTAATATAAAAATTCGTTTGTAATAATAAGCCATTAGTCTACTTCTTGATTGACATTGTTTTTCATAAAGATTTAATTCCATACAAATTATAATATATTATTTTAATTTTTATTAATTAATTTAAGACATGGAACGTTATAATGATAATATTATTGATGTTCTAATTGAGGGTTTAAATTTTTATGAGTACTATTTCGTGGTAGTGCACAATGAGTATATTTAAAACAAATATCTTTAAGTGAAGAATAAAAAAGGCATACTTACCTATATATATATAGAACAACCACAATACAGTCCATTTTACGTTCCTTAACAAATCACAAAATACTATACTAACCTTTATCATATTTTTATGAAATCTCCTTAAAAACAGCTAAATCTATCATAGAAAAAATGCTAAACGAGCCTTAGAATTTTTGATATTTGATGTATATTTGTACACATATGGAACTAAAACCAAAGCGATGTATATCAAAACAACATATTTCGCGGATCAACTTCATGTAATAACATATAGCAATATATAGTTACGATAATTTATTTGGTAATACTCTAAAGACTATACATTAATAAATCTGCAAATACAGTAGCCACGCGTTTATATGAACTAATTAAAGCAAAGCCAATTCATATAAACGAAGTTTTCATATAAGTGGGGGTAAATAAAAGACATTATTTTTACGCTAATTGAATGTGTTATGTTTAATCTCAAATAAAAAAAAAAAACACAATTCATAATTTCATAAATAAAAACAAAAACATCCAAAAAACAAAGTTAAACTGATAAATTAGTTACAGTTGCACCTTTTTTTAATTTTTCTATTATACACTGTTTGTCATTAAGCCTTAAAACTTTGCGTATTTTACGAACCATAGCGAAAATAATACTGACCTACAACAATATTGCTTAAAACAAAACCAAAAATTGAAATGTTTATGTATTTTTAAGATCATGTATGTACACAAAAAAACCGTTCAAGAATCAACATGCAGTTTCCCTGATAGCAAAAATTCGGCGATTTTACCAAAGCATAAAGCAAAATACACATGGCTCTGAAAGATTTGCATGCTATCTGGGTATCAATTTCATATTCTTCATATTTTTGGTACCGTAAATTTTTATTTGTATTTATGTGATTACGATTTTAAATAGAGAAAAAAAAAATGTTCATATAAAAGAGTGTGAATTTTTTAAGTGTTCATATAATAGAGTTGTTAATGTTAAAAAATCGCTGTTCATATAATCCCGATGTTCACATAAAGCGATGTTCATATAAACGCGTGACTACTGTATATTTAAAAAAAAAATTGTTGTAATTACATACAACATAATATGGTTTCTATTATAGTCATCAAGGCATACAAGGGCAAACCCTTTCAAATTTTCACTTTTTTTTTTATATAATAAGTTGCGTACATTATTCACAAAGTTTATGATTATCAGAAAATCAAATCAAACAAATTTAAATTGTATCAAATATTTGTTCAAAGTATACACATCGCGCTATCTCACTTTTTTTTTTTTGGTAAAATATTATACTGAAATATCATTTAAAAACTAATTTTAGACATCTAATTTAAATTTTTTAATAATTCCTACATAATAAAAATTGCAAGGTCAAACGAGATCATTATATAGAAATCAAAATTTAACCTGAAAAATGTTGGGTCAAATCAATGGTTTACAAAGTAGTACCTTTCCCGTCAACATGTTAAAATATTGCATTATTTTAATTATTTTCGTTCATATAATTTTAAAATACACAGTTGCAAGTGATTGCAAATATATTAGAATGAAACAAAAAAAATAAAATGAAAGAAACGTTAATATAATGGTCAAAATTTAATGGTGAATTGAATAAGTTCAAATAATTAATTATATTTTTTGGTAGCATAACGCTTTCCGTCAGCTTTCTGTATTTATAGAAATTTTACAATTTCGAAGAAATTTCTTCTAGAAGAAAAACGATATTAAAAATTTGGAAAAAAACAGGTTTCAATAAAATATTAATTTCAACAGTTATTTTATCATATCCATGCTCAATTGGAAAAAATAAAAAGTTAGCCGTAATGATTTCTTCTGCGAAAAATCTGCGAGGTATATTGTCCAACGTGTGTATGATGGATTGATCAAATTTTTAGTATTCGCATGAAAAGTGCTTCCGCCGAAAACTTACACAAATTGCATAATTCTTTAGCAATGATACATTCGTACCCTTGTGAGAAGTTTAATATTTTTGAATTTTCCTGTTTCGAAAGCAAGCTCTAGAATAAATATTATTGGAGAAATCTTAATACTAGGTTAGGTTAGGTTGCGAGACGCCCCAAAGGGTACACTTATTCCACCAAGGCCCGTTGTGATGCCACCGAATCCTCCCTCTCTCCCTCATTAGAACCAGCCCAAGTTCCTTAGAAACCGGTTAAAATCCCTAGCATTTACATTCGCTAGGTCCGTAGCTCGTCCAAAAAAGTCAGACCCAAAAAACCTTCGGCTGGAGTTCGCCAATGCCGGATTTAATAATACTAAATAACAATAAAATAAAAGGACCAAAATGATTTTGTTTTTTTTTTTGTTTTTTCTTTTTTTGTTTTTTTTTTTTGTTTTTTGTCTTTTCTTATCCAAGTTGTATGGATAACTTTATTCGAAATAATTAACACTTGTATTTTCTTTTTGTCTGTCTTTCTGTTAATTTTCAACAGCGCTAGAATAATTTTCAATAATTGATTTTTGTTTTGTTTTTGTTTTGGTTTTTGTTTTTTATTTTTTGTTTTTTTGCTACTATCATCGTTATCAGTTTTGATTTTTTCTTAGTTCAATTATTGTTTTTTTTTTTGTTTGTGTCATTATTTTGGTTTTAATAAGTATTATTTTTTTTTTTTTTGTTTATTAAAAACATTGTTTTGTTTGTTTTTTTTTTCGTTTTTTTTTGTTTTTTTTTTTTGTTAATTTTATGTTTTTATATTGATTATTTTATTATTTTTGAATGGTTTACGTCATTTTCATTTATTAAATTAAAATTTTTAATTTAATTTATTGGTTCATATTTTCTGTTATATATATATATATTATAACACTTTTTTATTGTATTATAATATTATTATTTCACATTATAAGTGTGGAAGATTTAAAATAGTTATATAATATAATAGTATAGTTAGTCTATAAATATATAAATATAAATATTGTTTATAGTTTTGTAATAATATTACCAATAACTTTTATAAATTTTGTTCTTTCTTGTTTATTCGTTTTATGTTTTGTTTTTTTTAAATGTTTTTATGTATATAATATGTTTTATTAGAGAGTGTGACTTAAAAACTAAGTATTTAGAAAAAAAAGTAAGATTATATTGTATTGTTTTTAAATGTATGTAGTTTTACTCGTATATGTAAAAGTGTTATACATTTATTTATTCGTACATATATACTTATTTATAAATTTATAAATATTAATAAATAATTTTATACGTTCATATATTGTTATGTGTTATTTTGCTTTTTTGTTTTTGTGTTTTTTTTTTATAATCTGTAATAAACATAACCTGAGTATTATATTAAAATGTTTTGATGGTTATATATGATGTTGTTTTGTATGTCATTAGGTTGGTAATTTTTTTTTTTTTTCGTTGTTGTTAATACATTTTTATATATAATAATTAAGTTATATTTGATACAAATTAACAAATTTTATATATGGTTGTCAATGATGGTATAGTGTTTGTTTAATTGTTTGATGTTAGTGTTTTTTTTTTTTGTCGTGGATGTCCTTTTAAACATTATAACATATATAGTATTTGTTTTGTTTTATTAATTTTTACTTAAATTTTACATTTTATATATATATATATATATATATATATCCTTATCTAACATGAGAAGCAAATTTTTTTGATAGTTATATAAATATATTAGTTTTCTATAATAGATGTTATACAGTTATACTTTTTTTTATTTTTAATTTATTTTTTAGATTTAAGAATATAATCTTTTACAGATATAAATTGTTCTTTGTTTTTTGTAATAGATTTTTAATTAAATATATAATTTAATTACTATCGTTCATCTTAAAATGATAATAATAAGAGTTACAAATATTAATGTGTATATGATATAATAGTAAAGTTATTTTTACAATTTTATGTTTTCTTTAATTAATTAATTTTTAATAAAGTTATAAATATTAATAATAATAATAGCATAATATTCTGTTTTTTTTTTTTTTTTATAGGTTTAATTATAATTTTATAGTTTTAAAATTTAACAAGATTTTTTTTTAAATTTTATGTTTTTTGTTAAAGAAATTTTTTAACGATTAAATATATAACTAGAAATTTTTTAAATATATTGTTGTATATTTTTGTTTTCATTTATTAAATTTTCTAGTATATAGCAGTTAAGATTAAATATTAAATTAATTTAAAGTATATTGTGGTTTGTTTTTTTTTTTTTATTGTTAGTATTTTGTTTTATTAAAGTTAAAAATTTTTGTTTTTTTGGTTTAAAAAACAAAATTGATGAGAATTATAATTATATAATGTTTGTAAGTTAAATAGAATTGTATATTATTATTATTATTTTTGGTTTTTTTGAATTAATTTAAAGTATTGTTTTTTTTATATTTTTAATTAGAAATTATTAATGTTCGAATAAAGATATACTCATTTTTGGTTTCAAACTACTTGTTTTTGTTTTTTTTTTAAAGTATAAAGATAAATTTTATATAAGTTTTATATTCATATATCTTATATATAATAAATATATATTTTGAAGATATATATAAACGTTTACATATATATATATATGTAATCTTTGGTTTTTTTCTGATTAAAATAATTTTATTATATTGTATATATATATATATATATTGCTATAATTTAATACTTTTTTATTTTCTTTTTTTATTGAAATTTCATATAATTTTATTGTGTTTTTAAAAAAAAAATTTTTTAAAAACAAATTTATTGTATGTTTTTTTTTAAAGAATTTTTAATTTTTTTTTTTTTTTTCTATTATAATATTTCGTTTTTGTTGAAAAGATTTCAATAGCAATATTATAGATTAATACTTTAATTTAAATTTTTTTTTTTTTTTGTTTTTTTTTTTTAATAATTTTTTTGTTTTAATTTTATAAACGTATAATAAATTTTTGTTTGTTTTTTCAATTGTTAATAAAATATTATTAATGTTTATTATTTTAATGAAATATAGAAAGTAATAATATTAATAAATAACAATTTTCTTCATTTTATTTATATAAAATTATTTTAATTTTGATTTAGAAGAAAAGAATAATAATAATAAGTATAGATATATATAATTAATAGAATTAATAAATTGTGATAAATGTACGTATGTATAAAACGTGTATAAATATGTAATTAAATGGTGTTTGTTAGTATATATATATGTGAATATGAATTAAATATGTAAATATGAATGAAATATATAAATTTGAAAGGAAAAAAAAAATAATAAAGAAATTCTTAATTATATGGTAAATTTATGTATATTTTTTTTAAATGAAAATATTTAACATAAATAATATATTATATATACTATATTCATAGGTTATAAGCCATTTCAATATATAATAATAATAATAATAATAATAATAATAATAATATAGTTAATTTTTATAATAAATATAAAGCAAAATTTTTATTATATATATATATATTTGTACATACACGCAATATGTATACATAAGTAATATTATAATAATTATATCATCAATATAATTTCTATATATAATTTTATTTTAAATTTTAATACTTGTTATAAAATTCCTAAACACATAATGAATGCGTATAGTTGTAATCCATATTATTTTTGTTTTTAGAAAACTATATAAAGAATTGTAATGATGATATAAAAATATTCTTATATATACATAGATATATATACATATTTTATATGTTTGAATAAATAACATTAATATTTTATAAATTTTTAATTATATTTGAATGCTATTTATTTATATTTATTTAATTTTTGCCTTATAAATATTATATAATTATATATATTTTTTTATATACTTAAATAGCTGATCACTTATTAATACTGCATATATAATAAATTTAATGTAAAAATTTTTTAATTTGTATATATATATAAATATATTTATGAATAAATATAAAATTGGTATTATATGTTGTTTATTGTTTTTAAATAACTTAAATAATTAAATGTATTTTTTTTTTGTTTTGTGAATAAATCAAAGTTAATTAGACTGTAATTGAAATGTGCTTTATTTATGTTTGTTGTTTTTTTTTTTTGTGAGTTTAATTTTAAAAAAAAAAATTAATATATTTTATTTTATTTAAAAAAAATTGCTTTTTGTTTTTTTTTTTTTGTTTTGTTTTAATTATTGTTATTTATTTATTATACTGAAAATTTTCTTTCTTGCATTCATAAGTTCATTTTAAAAATGGATTATATATTTTATAAATATATTATGTATATATATATTATTTGTATTTTGCTTTGTTAAATAAATTTTTAAAATTTAAGACGCTCCTATAAAAGGATTACATAATATTGGTTGTTTTTGTAAAGAATTGTTATTTTTTGTTTTACAAGTCGTAAGATTATATTAATAAACATAATGTATAGAATATTAAATGTATATATAAATTTAACAAAAAACAAGGAAGGGATTTTTTTTTTAAATTTTTTTCATATTTTTTTTTTATCTTATAATTAACATAAGTAATAATACTTTTTTTGTTTCAATAATAAATATAATATAATTGTTATTTTTTTTTCTTTGTTTGTTACGTTTTTTTTAATACAATATTGTTTATTAAATTTTGTTTTTCTTTTTTCACTTATTGAATTATTAATTATATATTGAAATTCATTTACTCTTTTTTTTTTGTTGTTGTTGTTATATATTTTATATGTATATATGTACATAATTAATTTATTATTAATCTAAAGTTTGCCTAACAATATCTGGTGGCAACATAAAATTGTTTTTTCTTAATGGTATTTCACTTAATTGTCTATCGATTGGCTCACGTGTATCGTATAATGATGGAGATTGACAGATAATCATTAATGTGCCGAATATACATGATAATGTAAATAACCATAAAAAGAAACGATCTAATACCATAGAGACAAATTTCCAATCTTCAACGACCTGCGAAAAATATTGAAAATGAAAATTAAAATTATTAAAATTATTATTTGTTAATATACATATATAGATTTTTTGATTTTAATAAATTTTAATAAATAAATATAACAAATACGCAATCTACAAAAAGAGTTGTTACGATATTTCAAATATTTAAAAAAATATAATTATGATTCGCTTTAAATACATTCAGTTTTTTTTAATAGAAGCTTTCAATACAAATTCCCTGCAACGCATTTAGAGGCATTTTAAGCTAGAGTTTAATCTTTTATTTTACACTCTAGAAATAGATTTTGCAAACAGACATGGCTGCCTTACTTGGATAGAGTTACGTACTTAGCGTTAAACGCCATTAGGGACTCAGGAGCATACATAGTTGCCCCTGTTTTAAAAATGAAATATTCATGACCGACTATTGACCAATACACCTTAAAGAAGCAATTATAGAAATATTGCATAGCAATGTTAGTATTATTATTATATTTTTTTAAACACCTCATTTTTAATCGATAATCGAAAATTCAGAACTTTTTTTAGAATTTATTTGAATAAAATTGAATTGAAAAATATATTACGCAATTTAAAAAAAAAAAAAAACTTTATTTAAAATTTCATCCATTTTTCTTGTATTACAATAAGTATAACTACATTTTCATTTTGTTATATGCATTTTATGTATAAATGTACACTGTGCCCATATAATACTTATAATGCGCTCCATTTTATTAAAATTTACTTAACTGACATGAATGATAGGAAAATTTAAAATGAGAAAATTTTTAAAATTCTCTCGCATGAATATGCAACAGTGGCTTGTAATTGAAAAAAGAATTTAAGAAAAAAAAAGAGTATTCTTTGCTATTATAGCACATAATATGAAAACGTTGCATATAGTATAAATATACAGATTTGCACGTAATGAAATGCTTGTATGTAGAATTTTCTGAATTTTTCTTTTACATTTTAATGCTTAGATGCATTTATTAGAAAAACAAATTTTTTAGTTTTTGTTTTTCTTTTTTTTTTTTTGTAAATATACATTAAGGAAGAAATTCATGTACAATAATCTGATGCAAGTGCTGCCAAAAAAAAATTTTTACCGCAAAATATATTTTGTTCTTATAATTTCTCTGTGTTCTCATTTTTAAAAAGGAATTTAATTTGCATTAAGAACAATAAAATAAGAGACAAGGAACAAAAAATGTATAATAGTATAAAATTCCGCAATATACATAATTTTAAAATTTATAATCACAATTTCCTCGAATTTTTAAATTAACTTTTGTGGAAAATTTTCTATATATGTTACATGTACACACAGATCTATATTTTTATTTGTACCATTTTACAAACAAATTAATTTAAAATTATTTAAAAAATATATAAAAATAGCATTTGAATTTTCAATTTATTTTGGAATTTTAATTATGCATCGCTATCACAGTAAAAAGAAATAAACAAAACAGCCACATATAGAAGACTTTGAATCAATTAACACAGTATAATTATTATACAAAAATTAATTAAGCAATAACTTTCTAAAAATATTTTTAAAAATATTTGAATTTTTCTCCTAATTAACATTATGAATTTCAATTAATTTTAGGAAATATTTCTACAAAGAAATTAAATTAAAGTTGGATTAGTTCCAATGTTATTTTAAAATAATTTTAAAACCAGTTTTATCTATCTAAAATATTATAATAAATAATTTATAGATTCACATTTTAAAAATCTCCAAAAAATTTAACTAAAATAATTACATCCATATTTAATTAACAAATATTTTTAATACCTCGTTATCCTTGTCAGCATCTTTAATATGTTGGGCTATAAAGCGGACAGCTCTTAATGCTTGTAAGACTTCTGGAGTCATATGCCGAGGAAATGTATGATCAGAATCTATTTTGATATTATGAATAATTTGATTAATTGTTTTATTAAATAAATTTTTTTTTGTTCTAGATTTAGATCTTTAGAAAATTATAATTAATTATGCAAAATAACAAATATACATAAATTAATAAATTTCATTGTATCTATAATATTTATGTAGTTTACAATTATGTCGCTGGAATTATTTAAAAAAAAATTTGGCAAGATTAAATCAAAAATATTTATCTAATTTACCCGATGAATGTGGTATATTTTGATTCATATTATCATAAACCATTTCCTGTTGGCCATCTTTAAACTCACTTGGAAAATCACTGATGCTATCCCTAAAATATAACAGAAAAATATTTTGTACTTTAATATATGTGTTTTTCAATAAAAGAGTTTTATATAATGCGAGTTTTAAATGTAAACGATAAGACGGAGGACTTTTTAAGCATTTGGCATGCTGAGAGAAAATGATGTTTCTTTTAGGTACAGTGCCGAAGAAACTGCAATAAAATCAACTTGAGTCCTCCAAGGAAGTGAAGTATCTGGGAGTGATCTTGGATCACTGATTCAACTGGAGGTCTTAACTTAGAGGAGCCGCCGATAGAGCCACTCGGGCTCTATAGACTACGGCAAAGCTGCATGTAAGGACGTAGAGTCTAATTCCTAGGATGGTCCAATGGAACGTACGACCATTGGCCGACCAATTTTAACATACTCTTTTGCCCTATTGCGAAAAATCATCTCCGAAGAGACGGGAACTGACTACGCTCTGTCGTCCAGATTTGAGGCTATTGGTTAGTGTACACACTGGACACTGCCTCTCCATGATCCATCTGAAAATGATGGGCAAGGCGGAGAGTGAAGTCTGCCGTCTCTTCCTGGAAGAGGACAAAACGGTTTGGTAGGTTTACGATTGAGTTGCTTCAGAAGAGACTTTATGACCCCGAATGGAATCTCACGCTTTGAGGTGATTGCTATAATGCAATTTTTTAGGAGTTTAGATATAGTGCTAATGTAGGTGGGGATGGGAATCACAAAATATCCTATGGATCGGCATTAGAAAAAAAATTTCAAAAGTGTTTTTTTTTTTTTTAAATTGAAAAAAGCAGTCATTCACAAATATTCTCCATCTAATATTTGTAATTTTATTTATACAAAGTTCAAATTTCAATTTTCAACAAACATTTTTATTTACTCAATCGTTAATATTGTGTAAAGTAATATTTATTTTCCTTACATCATGTATATTTATGTATTTTGTAACACAAATAGAAGCTTAACTTTTGTTTCATTAAAACGTATGTACAATTCGGTAAAATGCTAATTTTAAAGCAATCACATTTTACGCTCTTGTATAATTGCGAATTCACGTATTCGACAAATTTACGTTGTTAATTGATTTCATAAATTATTATGCAATATCAAAATACTAACAATCTCTGCTATGTTAAATGAAAATTCCATTTCTTTAATGCTTTCTGGTTTTATCCTTCTACTTTATTTTTATCAATTTTTATTCTCAATTTTTTCTTTTCTCTTTTGAATTTGAAATTAGAACAAAGTAACACCGTACAGATTTGTGGTTGTAGAATTGACTTTACGACAGTTCAATTTTATATATGAGATATTATAAGAGAAATATCATAAGAGAAATATCATGAGAGATGACAGATAAGAGAAACATTATATTAAATCACACACATAAACCTGAATTCAATAAAAATAAATAAAATCCTGTACCTATAATATGTGAATTCAATTAGAGTATCTACATATTTGTTCATCAATTTCAAGTTTGTATTTAAAAAATTCAGAAACTGTGCAATAAAAAAATACAGACTAATATTATTTTTCATTATAACACTATCTAAATAAAATTTAAGTAACCAAATGATAAAAACCCTGAATCTGGTTGAGGAAAATCTTACGCACTTAGTATAATGCAAAATGTTAAATATATTAGTTCTGGCATTTTATTTGAAAAATATCCATCTTATGAAAAAAAAGCAGCTACATGACTAAAAACAACATGATATATATGTGTCACAAGTAGTCGCAAATCAAAGTGATAAAATACAAGGAAAAATAACATTGAAATGATTGTAGATAGCTAGATTCTTCACTTAAATATAAAATTTGAAAAAATTTTACAACAATAAGATTAAATTAAAGAGATTTTGAAGTACTGAGTATGTGATAAAGTTTTCTCTTTCAAGATTCTACACAAAAAAAATCAATTTATAACAGTTTTCTGAACATGTATTCATTTGAGTGACGCATTCAAACATTTCAATTTGAATTTTTATTCAATACTCTGGCATATTGAAACTAAATTATCCCAAAAACAAAAAAAACAAAAAATTAACAATATACTCGTAGCTACATACATTATTAAATTCTATTAGCATATTATACAATTCAATACAATTCATTGACATAGTAAAATTCTTGAATTAATAACGTAGCTTGTTTTACTCTTATTATTAAATGCATTTAAAAAAGCATACATGCTGGATAAAATCAATATTTGATTGAAACAATGCAATCAAAAGGTGGTACTGTAAATACAAAATTACACATTCGATGTATGTAAATATAATTTGCATTCTGATGTACCCAAGAATGTATGAGTATTCTATAAAAAAAAAAAATTTAACAAGATTTTCATTTATTCAGATCAACCAAAATTCTGTTTTTAATTGAAAGACATGAAGGATAATATTAAAATATTTTGAGCGAGATTTTTTTCAATATTACAGCATTTAAAATTTCATTTTGAAATATCGCGAGTTCAGAACATGAAAAATAAGAACACGTATGTGTATATTTTTTATAAATGCAAATTTGAATTTTAAATTTTTCCGAACGTGTTTATATAATATGGAAATTTGTAAATTTACATATCTACCAATAATAATTTTGAATATTTTATTTTTAATTTGTAAAAAACTAAAATTGTATATGTATGTGTATAATAAGTAATTTTTTTCAATTTAATACTTGAAATTGCTTTAGAAGGATTAAAAATAGAAATTAAAGTTGAAATTAGTTTTTCTGTTAAGAATACTGAAAAGCGAATAAAATTATCGTGGAAAGTTAAGAAAATACTCTAAAATAAAATAAAATTTATTAAATAATTAACTTGTTAATATATGAATGAATTAATTAACTAATTATTCACTAATATAATTCATAAAATCTAACATAAATAGGCAGATAGGACTGTCTGCATGAATTCGTAGAGGGATGTCTCAGTTTTTTAAAGTCGTCGAATAGCCTGTAGTTTTTACTCATATTAAATATATAAAGTTACCGATATTTCGTCATTGTTTACTCTTTTCGGTATTTCGTCATTGTTACATTATATATTGAATATATAATGCCGATATATATATACGATATTAAGCTATATAATAATATTAAATAGAATTTTTAAAGTGACCATAAGAATAACGTATAAATCACAGAATTGTCAGTTTAAGGGCCCGTACCATAATCACGGAAACATTGTTCATTGATTAAAAATTTTAAATAAATAGAATTCATTATAAGATTATTTAATTATTTTTCTATGAATAATATATTTTATATTTACGGTATATTATATTTTAATGTATACGTACATTTTGCCGAAATTAATCAAATTCTTCGAAATTTTTGTTTTTTATTGCAAATATATTAAAAAATTCCACTATGAGTACCTAAATATATTTCAATTTATTCACACATATTAGTACAAATATTTCTTTAGAACACCATATGTTGGATGCAATATTATACACATATAATACAATCGAATTTTATTATTCCCTATATTAATAATTTAATTCCTATATAATATTGCACATGACAATAATGAAATATTGCAATAAATTTAAAAAAACAAACAAAAAAAAGAAACAAAAATTTTAATCCTAAAAATAAAATGCTAAGGATAATCGGGTTATTTTTTTTTTGGTTTTTGGCCAATAGTAAGTATCAGAGTTGCCGTTCTATATATATAAGATCTTAGTGTGATACTAAATTACGTTATTCATTTTTTTTATTGTTCAGAAAATTCTGTTCGTTTTTATTGTTAATAATTTTTGTGAATCCATTCAAATATTATGCATATCTTCGATATAATATGAAAGTTTTAATTATCTAGAATTATTTTGTGGTAAAACGATTCTTACATGTTCTTATATTTATTTACATATCATAGAATTGAATGTTTAGTGATGACATTAATAATTATAATAGAAATTCAAAGACTATGAAAGGCGTAGTGTTAAAAAATTTAAAAAATACTAATTCCGGTTACACAAATTTAATAAAAACCTAAACAAATAATATAACAATAAAATCTCCTTACTGTATTGAAACTGTATTTTCTTTTATTGTATGGTCGACAGGCGGCTTGTTCAATAAAAAATTCCAAATTTATGCAAAATGTTATAAGCAAATAATATGTAAATAACCATAAGTTTATGTTTTTCTATAGGTATATAAGGAATATACTTATGTATTTTTAAAATATTTATTTTATTATGTTTTGGATACTCGAATTATATATAGAAAAGGATATTTTAACAAAATCAACAAACGAATAAATAAATAACACAACAATAATAAATAAATAATAAATTAATGGTGAAAAAATATAAAAATATTTTCAAATATCATATTTATAATATTCCCCAAAAAAAAAATCATATTTATACATACAAACATACAAATACAATAAATTTCATTTTTTATGTTTTTGCCTTTTGAATAAAAGATTCTCTTATCAGTTCATAATTTATAACAAATTTCTAATAAAAAATTCAAATAAAATCAATCGGAATGCTATTCTGTAGCATATTATATTCACAAAATTCCAATAAAAAAGACCCTAGCATCAAGATAATATTGAAGAAGCTAATAAAAATAATTAAATTAGAAGCGTTAAATTTGCAATAAAATGAATTTAATCTGACCATGCGAAGAACCTTTTTTACTGCCCGCATTGCATAAAATAATAAAAGTATTGTAATCGCACCAAATTTCACATGTCGAGTGTTCAAAGAAAATGTTTTTTTTCATATGAGAAAACGGGAAACGAATTTTTCTTTACCGAGTTACCGATTCGTCTGTCAATTTTATATGTGGACCACTAGATCTAAATTATTCGACGTGCGCATTTTAGCGAAAGTATACCAATATCAGAACTCTTAACACAGACTAATTGACTTATATTAGTAATTTATTTCCAGAATATAATTATGGGATTTTCTCGAATTTATTTAAAATCTGCACCTGATAATATGACGAACTGCCAAACTTTTCATTGTAATCAGGTGCCAACATTTTGAACATTTACAATTGAAACATTATTATTAAAAAAATGTACAATGCAGTCGGTTAGGCGGCTTACTGAACATAATATTTATTTAACTTTAAGATTTAACCATATTTTTCCAGATTTTTAAATTCATAATATTACAAGGATCATAAAAATTTTATAAGAAAAACAAATCACGTCCGCTATGAATTTTTATTTAATGGTCAGTATTTTAAAGGATTAATTAGTACAATATCATTATAAAATTTATAATTCGAAAAATAGCTTGAAAATTCGTGGTTAGAATGTAAAATATGTAATATAAAATCTTAAAGTAAATGAAATTAATGTGTTTTCTTATAATAATATATAAACAGTCCGAAATATAAATTATTAAAATACCTAAGAAAAAAAGTTAATTTTTTCGATTTTAATATAGCCGCTATAAATAATAGAAATTTAAATTACTTAATGCAAATTAAATGTTCTCAATATTCATCCGAGCTCTTAAATTATGAAACAACGATTTTCAAACTTCCTCACTTTCTAAACAAATCATCTCTAAAATATTTTTTACCATCATGCATCAACAAGCTCATAAACTTATTACAAGTTTGTTATTTGTACCATCACAATTAATAATCATGGTACTATTTTCATTATTAGCACCGTATTAAATGTAGTTAATACTAAACGTATAAATTATAAAAAATTTTTTATTGACTTACCTAACATCTATTTCATTAGTATAGCCATTACTAGGTGTTGAATCATCGTAATCTGGTAATGTATATTGTGTTCGTCTCATCATCATTACTTTTGGCATAAATTGTAAGAAAATTTTTTTTACCAATGGCGACATTTCATGTGTTGATGTTGATCTATAAATGTTTCGTACCCAAACAAGCCACAACAATAAAAGAAAACAAAAAACCGAAAAAAAAAATATTTTACACATACACGTTTTTGTTAGATGGCAGTCAGATAAAAAGAAATAATTCTAATAATACCACTCTCTAAGTTCTTATTTATTTCTAATTGGTTCTTCAAATTCAATTCTCTTCAGGGAAAACCTGAATTTCATAATATAAAAAATTACTAAAAGTGATGTAATTTTTTAAAGAAAAAATTCATTGAATTAAAAATTTAAAATCACATAAATAGAAAATTTTTCTCAGATTTAATTGAAATTTCGAATGAAAATGGTATTACTATTTCGAATTCTTAATATAAGTATATTAAAAGTTTACGATTGCGTTAATAATTAAAGGCATAAATAAGAACAAAAATATTAAAAATAATAATTTCAATTTATATAAAAAATATGAAAACTGAAAAATATTGGAAAATATTTAAGAAATCAAAAAAAATTTATTTTAAAATTGTCAACATTTGGTAAATTTATTAGACCGAATAAGGTTGTATTACTATTGTATTAAAGTAAAACTGTCTGCCATCAACAACAATTCAACCAAATATAAAGTTATATGTATGTCTATCGAGTTGTATGTCTGTCGTGTGTAAAATATTTTCTTTTCCCTTTAATATATACACATACACACATTTAATATATATTTTTACAAAAATATATACAAATGTATATACGTTAATAAGATAATTTTTTTATATTATTGCATATTTTACATAAAATTTAAAGAAAAATATATTTAGTATATGAAAACTGAAATAGATACAAAATGTAAATTAATTTTATATAGTTTTATATGATATTTTTTTCAAACTAAATAAAACTTAAACTACACTCTATTATACATGACTTCATCATAGTAAAAGGATCTTTGCTGTATACTTTGTTTCATAATTTTTGTTTGCTTGTTTGTTTTGTTTGCTTTGTTTGTTTGCTTATTTGTTTGTTTATTAAAAGTTTTACATAAAAAAAAATTTTTTATACAATATTTATACGATTATGTATAATTAAATATACATATTTACTGTATAATATTATACAGGGTAATTCAGAAAAGTACACAACCCCATATACCATTGGCTAGAGAATCTATAATAGGTAAAAATTTTATTTCGGAGTTCGCGCCACATCTCATGAATTGCCGAGATACAAGGATTTTAACGAATTTTCACAGAATTTCTACTTGCCCAAGCTTTTCTGCTTATAACTTCCCTTCTGGAAAAAGCTAGAAGATTCATAAGAACAGTTTTTGAAAGAACAGGTGAAAAGCTTAAAAACAAGATACTACCAGATTATGTTTTTAATCTATTTTCAGAATAGCAATCATTTGAGCATTAGAATAATTACAATTTTTTCCATTTTGTATTTTTTTTTTAGTTTTCTTTACCCCCCAATTGCGTGCGAAATTTTTAAAAATTTTAAAATTTTTTTTACAGAATGTTGGCCAATTTTTTAAGCTTTAATTTAAGTCAATCTTTTATGGCACAGAAAATTTAGCACAAAAACCATGTTTTTTACCAAGATTTTAAAGGCTCTAGTAAAATGTAGAAAATCAAAAAATTGTCACCATTTTAAATTTTTATTGATTTTAAGTACTTTAATTATCGTCTATTATTAGATTTGGATAAAAAAAATCATTTTTAAAAGCAATTTATACTTTCAAGAACCGTTATTTTGTTAAAAAAAATTTTACGATTTTTATCAGAACACAATAAATTTTAGAAAAAAAATCCCAATTGCTGAATTTTTTTAGAACTTTTCTCTACAAAAAAATTGTTTCAGGGTTGCTAGGAGCAAACTACGTAACCAAAGGTTGCCTGACTACTCAAAGGACCAATTTTGAGTAGCCTCATTAGGACCATCTCACTCATTATTTCTGGAGGCTAACCTTTTGGCTATACGTTAAATTTATTTCGAAGAAAGTTTGTGAAGTTCTGTGATGTAGCAAAAAGTTGGAAAAAAGTGAAAGCATTGGAACTTTTCACTAAAATTTATGTATTTAAAAAAAAACCCTAAATTCAGTATTTTTTAGTAAAATAACGCTTTTTAAAATTAGAACTGCTTTTAGAATGACTATATTTTGATCAAAAAATAATAATAAATCATAATTATTGAACTTAAAATTAATAAAAATCAAAAATAGTTAAAATTTTTTAAGTTTCTACATTTTACTAGGGCCTCTAAACTCATGACATAGAAATGATTTTTGTACTATGTCTCCTGTATCATAACGGACTTTTTAACGTTTTATGACTTGAATTAAAGCAAAATTCTGTAAAAAAAAACTCAAAATTTCAAGAAATTCGAAAGATTAAAAAAAAAAATAAAGAAAGGGAAAAATTTGACTTTTTTAAAAGTTCGAATGCTTGATATTCCGAAAGAACATGAAATACAAAATCAAGTAATAGGTTGATTTTCAGTCCTTTTAAAAGCTGTTTGTGTGAAGCCCCATCTTTTTCGGAATGGAGGTTATAAGCAAAAAATTTTGGACAATTAGAAATTTCTTGAAAATTCGTTAAAATCCCTGTGTCTCGAAGCTCTTGAGATTTTGTACGAGCTCCGAAACAAAATTTTTACCTATTTTTGATCTTCTAACCAATGGTATATGTTGTTGTGTACCTTTTCGAATCACCCTGAACTGTGTTAGTGAATATCAAGTTTACGTTATATACCAAAAACCAAAATAAATGAATATGAATAATCATAATATTTTATAGAACAATACAGATGAAGAAATATAATATACAATAGTTTTACGACATTAGGAATTCTAAGTATTAAAATAAAAGTTTTACAATTCTGCTTTGTATTAATATATAACATTATTCAATAGTGTTTTACATAATTTTAATATTTTATAATACGCAAATATGGATTTCTGGTATTAATTTGTCAATAAAATTCATTTTATTTTTTTTTTGTGTAAATATATTATAAAAAAATTGAAAACTCAAAATTAAAAATATTTACTATTTATATATAAACAGTGCCGGTTTTACCTAAGAGCTGAACAAGCTGCCCCGGTATTACAAAACCAGAATTACGCTATTAATTTTTACAAAAACATGAAATTTAAATAAAATTTTCAAAAAATGGGTTAAAACCCTAATATTTATATTAGGCCCAAATTGAAATATCCGCCTATTTTAACTGAACTTGAAATATTTTCCTCAAAATTTCGGCGCTGAAGTTTTCCGCAAAATAAGTCATATTAACCGCAATAAGTCATATTAGCAAGAAAAATTGTTTAAATTTTTTTCAAGGTTTTCTTTTATAGCATTCTAAGAATTTTTCTCAGTTTTTAAAAAAACTTGCATAACGAAAATTTTGTAGATTTTTAAGACCCTTTATACGATGTGAGGCATAACCATTCGTTTTAAACTTTTTTAAAGACCTTGAGGGAACTTTAAATAGGAATATACACATTTAGATAAAAACACGTGCCTCTAACATATATATATCCACATTATAAGGCTTAAAATGATTGCTCTTAATGTAATCAAATTGCATAAGACGCGTTTTATAGTTCTACATAATATTGAGTCCGATTTGAATAGGCAGAAAAAGAATATTAAGTAAAATCCGGCACTGTAAATATTCAACTGATAATAAAATAATACGATAATATCAAATGGGATTTCTAAAATGAATTCAATTTAATATTTATATGAATAATAGGAAATATGGGTTCATATTATAATATTATATTTATATACGAATTTTGAAACTATTAAAAATTTGGGCATAAAATAAAGTATTGATATTATGTATTTGATATATCGATTATTTAAGGAATTCATAATTTATTTGCTGATAACAAAAATTATAATCCTATAAACATTTTATAGAATCTATTTTATAATATCATTTTGGAAATTCTGTAATATTATTGAAAATTTATTTGAAAACGTGGAAAAATATAAAGTTGATTATATAAACTCTGTGATACCCATATAAACTTATTATTCTATGGGCGAAAATATATACCATAGCTGACTAGAGGACAGACTATGACTTTAATTTCACTGGTTTTGTTTTACGACAAGTGAAATAAATTAGCTACATGGTTTTGAAACTTTTATATACCGGCTGTATTCAACCTATTGCTTGGGGAATGAAGCCGAAAAATAATTGATTAATTTCTAACAAAAATTCTTCTTAGTTATCAGCTTTTCTTAAAAGAATTTTTATTAGAAAAATTTATATAATATTTTCAAAAAACATCAATTGAAAAACAATATGCCCAACTTTTATTGGAATATTAATTTTTTTATAATTAATACATTTTTTGATATATGAAAATACAATACTGTATTTGGAAAATATTAAATTCTAATTTTGGAAAATTTTTTAAATATTACAATTTGTAATTACTGTTAATTATTTTATGAATTCTTATACAAAAAACAAGATTATATTAAAATAAAATTAAATGAAATAAAAGATTAAAAACAATAATTACCAAACTAGAAGTAATACACAAATTTTTATGGTGAATTCTAACACTTTTCATAAAAAATACTTGAATTATATAAAATCAAATTGAGATAAGAGGATATTGTGGTGTCGGACGATAGGTCAATAATTACTAAATATTTCATATTAAAATTTGAATTATAATTGAAATTAATTACAATATCAAGGCTACATTTAAATCCGATTTGTTTCAAGCCCAATTTGAAGAGAAAATCTATTTTTTTCTTCGAATTTTCCGACATAAAGGCTAAAATAGTTTTATAATAATATGAAAACGAAGCATTTAATAATATTGACAATTCACTCAATTTGATTTTAGTATAATTTTTCTAAATACACAATGGGTCTTACATATGTATGTGTAATTAAATAAAACAAAATAAAAAATAAAAGGATATACATGTAGTCCTAATTAGAATATGTTATTTCCAATTTTAAAATATTATTACGTACATATAATAATATTTAATACATAAA